TATATATATATATATCCTGAGACATTTGATAGATGGAAAAACTGTAATTACATCATCAAATACTGAAAACTGGAGCAGAAAACAGGTTTCTTCAGAACTGGACTGTATTGTTGATTTTCCCTGTTTATTTTATACAAACCACTGGGATGATACCAGGTTTGGTTTTGGAGTGAAAAAAAACTTGACAAATAAAATCAAAAATCCTGTTGAATAATTTTAAGGAGTGTTTTTGGTTTGATCTGAATAAGTTTCGTTGTCTGGCAGTAAAAAGCAGAGCTGGTCTTAGTAAACAGTAAAACTCCAGCAGATAAGGTTTGACTAACTGCTGCCCCATGCTGGTTGTGCCCTGCAGTGCGAGGAGGACGGCCAGGTGTTCTTCAGCCTGGACGACGGAGCCACCAAGTTCACAGACCTGATCCACCTGGTGGAGTTCTACCAGCTCAACAGAGGAGTGCTGCCCTGCAAGCTCAAACACCCCTGCACCGCTGTGGCCTTGTGACACTCCACTCCCGTTTGTTTTTGTTTTTTTTTTTATTTGCACACCTCCCACCCTGAGACCCCCACCCCCTCCCTCCTTAACCAACACAAAGTGGTTGAGGAGGGGTTCTGGGATGTATCCAGCCCACCAGCAGCCGCTCCAACGCTTCCCTCCGCTGTTCGGACCGTCGTCCCGGTGTTCGGGTGGCTTCGTCATCGCCCTCCACCCCAGGAGACACCGTGTGCCGGACCAACACGAGACCACTAAAGGAACATCCTAACAGTGAAGTGGGAGTGCTGCGGGTTTTAAATCTCCCTCTTAACCCCCCACCCTCCCACCCTCCAGGCCTGATAAGCTGTGGCGCCCCCCCACTGGGAGCGCCACCTTCTGACTTCCTCACTGATCATCAGGGATGGACGGGAACCTCTGGGGTCCTATCAAACTTGACCCTGGAGTTTCTCAACCTGTGCAGTCCAGTCTGGATAAGCTGACACCCCCTACCCCACCCACCCCTCCCTCCTGACCTCTTAGTGGGGGGGGCTCGACCTAGCTCCTCTGCTGCCACCCTGACCCACAACTCCCCTCCTTCCCCTCCACCGGTGCAACCCCGATCCCACCCCCACAGAAGCTCAAACCAGTTGTGCGAGGCCGGAGGCGGGGCCACAGGACAGAGGAATGTTGATGAGGAAGGCGGGAACACGCCTCTCCTGTAGAGTTGATTACTTGATGTCATTTAATGCTGTTTTATTCATATTGATTCAATGCAGAACTAGTTTTGCACTCCTGGGCGGACAGACAGCAGCAGTCTAGCTGAAAGAAGCTGCCTCCTCTTCCTCCCCTTTCTGAAAAAGCACGCGTGTGAATTGTGATTTCCAGCAGCTCTGATTGGTCGGTGGTGTCGGGCGGTCCGGCTGGCGGAGCGGTGCCTTTCAGGAAGGTTTCAGGAACATCTCGATGAATGAATGTGCTCTTCAACCAGCTGCAGCGGCGCTAGATTGTGAGGAAGAGGAGGAAGACCACCTGATGTGTGTGTCCACCCCTCACCCCCCACCCCGAAGCTTCTACCATTTTTTTTAAATGGAAAGGGTTATATTTGTTGGTGAATTTGTCTTTGAATGTCGTTTTCTTTTCCTACGTCTGATCTGAGTTCAGTGCTTTGCACATTTTAACCCTCCTGACGTGTTCGGATGCTGACCACTGTCCCCTCGTACACAAACAACACAAGCACTCTAACTTTTGTTTTTCTTGTTTTTAAAATATGGAATTTGAAGAAATGACTTGAAATGTGAAATCAGTGGACGGTGCAGCAGCGGCATCGCCTGAGCTTCACTTGCCTTAAGTGAAATGATGATGACGATGATTATGAGCCATGCGTATGGGATTGAAGAAGTTATGTTAAGATGCACATACCAGAACACATTTCTGATTTTATGGAAGGACGAAGTGACGAAACAATCTGTTCAGTGATGGGATTTTTGGGAACCGTTTGCTTTCTTCTGCTACGTTTATAAACTGTATGCTAAATATGAAGCTAGCTACTTCTGTGAGTTTATTAAAAGATCTGAGATTTGTAACATTAATTTAGAACTTAATTTATTACTTTCCTTTGAGATTTTAAAGTTATACATTTTCAAAAAACTGTTTGATTCAATTCTTTTGGCTTTCATTAAATGCATTTTCTAATTTAGACATGCTAAGCTAAGCTAGCTGTGAGCAGCTTCATATTTAGCGTACTGACAACAGTTTTAAGTCTTCAACTTTTGATTGAGGCTCCAAAGTTTTTATAAAGATCCAGATAAACGTTTAAATTGTGCCAGCGAAGCTAAATAAAAGACTTGATTGTTTCCGTGCACAGCAAGACTCAGATACTACCCTGACCTGAAGCTTCTGCTTTTAAAGCTGTGTTTAATAGAAAGATGGAACTTGGGGTAAAAACTAAAAAAAAAAGGAAAGCTCATTTGAAGTATATCAAACTGCGGTTTAAGAGTTGTTTTCCAGATTATACATAAATGCAGGTCCACACTCGATGTAAACAAAACACTTGGGTGCGTGAATGAAGCAGGTGGAGGCCTCTGTCCTATTATCATTGTTATTGTATGACTCAGCACTTTGTGAACGACAGGGTTAATCAGGACACTAACGATCAGTTATTAGGCTGATGGTCCTCTTTTACACGTGAACCAGTTCAGATCGTCACCGTTCAGCTTGTTTGTCCACTAGAAGGTACTGCTTGTAAGGCTGAAGACCGAAGACAACTTTTGATACAAGTTGAAACGTTTCAGCAAAGAAGACGCCGTCCAGAGGACCTGCCTCAACCTTAGTTTCTGTAGGTAAACAAACATGTTGACGTTAGCATCTGATGATAAACTTAGCTTACAAATGTCTGACTGAGGGATCCAGAAGTCTTAAAGACACAACGAGGACAAGCGTCCGTACGAACGTTGCTCTTTAACCTGAACAGGGTTATAAATAAAACAAACCTGAGAACTAAACGTGTCGTCGTTCAGATCAGGTGGAAAACCGGAGCATTGCCGTGCAGGTAAACACTCACTGAAGAAGCAGTTAATTCTGTCCGACTCTTAACTCTTAAAGCTGATAAAGGAGCAGTGTTTACTCAACAGGTGCTGTCAGGTGACTGAAAACAGCTGATTCAGCTTTATTCAAGAGCTTCATGGATTCTTCTGGTTCTGGTTCAGATTTCTAGCTTCACTTGTTCCATGGGCTTCAGTGGATCAACGGCAACATTATGCTGAATAATTGCTAAAATGACAAAGTAAATTATGTTGATTTCTCCAACGTGATAATTATTCCTTTGAAATAGTTTGATCAATTGAATTTCTTAGTTTTATTGTAATGATTAGATAAAAGGGCTTGTTGATAAGATTGCACTTGTTGCTTTTAGGGAACTACAGTTTTTTACATTTTAATGAAAAATGATTCTTGGGATTACTGCGGTCAGATTAAAGTTGGTCAAACAAAACTAAGCTGAAAAATGAGGTAAACTGAAAACAAAAGGTCAATCAAAATACGGTAAAAGAAAAAACCCAAAGGCGGCACAGGTTGAGACCATCAATGAAATGTAGCTCGTTTTCAGTCTGTTTTTGTCGTAGTGTTGAGACACTGACGGAGGGCTAAGATTTTGTACGTTCGATACGAGCAGCAGGAAAATAATCTGACGTTTCTACAAAAACAGGAAATCTGTTTGAAGCTGCTTTTAAAGGACGTTTGGGTCATTTGCTGCGGTTTTGTGGAAAAGTTGTAAAGAATGAACGTCTGACCTGTTGTAAGTCGCTCTTTGGATTACGTCAGTTTATTCTGATCAAACCGATGAGCTAAAGGCTAGTCTGAATGCAGCTAGGACCAGAGTGGATGTTTGACATCCCTTTACACTGTCAGTCCCACAGCAAATCTGCTACAGCTAGCTGCTGCTGTTTGAGCTTTAAAATGACAGATGCTTCTTAATAAGAGTCACTTTATTAATTTAAACACTTTCTAAATGATTATTAATGCTTTACAAGCAGTTTATAAACACTAATTTGTCAATTTTGTATAATTTTAGATTTTAAATCAAACATTTGTCATACATTGGTCTTTATGTGAACACAAGCAGCATTTAGAGATATTTTCTGTAAGAAATCAGGAAGTTAAAACAGTAAATATGAAGCTAATAAATCACATCCATGTTCAGTGCTTCAAACGAACCTGCTTCAGTGTGAGAAGCAGTTTTATAGATGATAAATGCTTTATAAAGTGTTAATAAAGGCTTTATTAAGGGTCTGTCAATGTTTGAATAATTGAAGTGATGTGCATTCCAACCAGCCATCAGCTCATCAGCTTGTTTAGGCTTCATCCTGTGTGTTTTTGCTACCTGGTGGGGACGATTTTTGACTATCCTGGTACACAGCCTGGTGAGGACCCACAGTATAAGTATCCTTATGGGGACAAAAGCCCGGTCCCCACTGGGGGAAATACTGTTGGTTAGGCTATAGAAATGATGAGTGGAATGGAAGTCAATGCAAAGTCCCTACGAGGATAGAACAAACGTGTGTGTGTGTGTGTGTGTGTGTGTGTGTGTGTGTGTGTGTGTGTGTGNGTGTGTGTGTGTGTGTGTGTGTGTGTGTGTGTGTGTGTGTGTGTGGTCAGACAGTCCTGTTCGCTGTAAAGTCAGAAACAGGTGATTTGGTTGAAGGGTTGTCCCAGCGTCCTCTCCTGTCCTCCTCATCACTGAGCTGAAAAACCGAAGCTTTAGAAAAGCCCGAGGCTTTGAAGCTGGCAGAGTAAAGACTCACCTGTTGTATGTGAAGCAGAAGTAGATCTAACACTGTATGGAGGTCACACATCACTATGAATGCGGTGTTATAATGTTGTAATACCATAAAATTAGGAATGATTTATGTCCTGTTTTTTTCTTTTATTAATTGTGTTATGTTGTTTATGGCCAGAAAGTATATACAGTATTAAGTTAAACTTTGTTTTTTATGAGATCAAACTGGATTTTTGACGCGTGTCAAATTCCTGAACATCACCTGTGTGTATAAGCTGACGGGCTGTCAGAGTCCTCAATTCTGATGGAGTTTTATTTTATTTTTTTAAACCATGTCCCCTCTCCGTCACGCCAGATTCACTCACTTTCTGCTTCTGGTTAATGTTTGGAGTAAAAGCCTTCACACGCCTGAGCTGGGGGGGCGGGGCTTCATCCGCTGCTTCAAACTGTCCTTAGCTTTTTATACACTACATGTGGTGCAATCATATGCCACAGCTCGAGGAGTTGGCCTTTTCTTTCTGTCCATAAACACTTCACGTTCTCTCCATCTTAACGAAGCAGCAGGAATCTTCTGTCCCTAGTTGCCGTCCGTCCGATCCCTGCGCTCAGAAACACCAGTTTGATTTCCAGTGATGCTGAAAACCAACAGGGTTTTATTGTTCGGGTTGAAGTCGTCATAAGCTGAAGTCTAACAAACATTTCAGGGAAAGAAAAACGAGCAAACGAACCATAATTAGGTTGTGGTCACCTAACCCCCACTCACTGCTTCATCCTGTCTCTTCTGGATCTACATTGTATCCTGTTCAGGTATTTTTGTACAAATAAGGGACTGATATATTCTCTGTTTATTGGAAATTAGAATAAAAGACAAAGTTGCTATAAACCAAACATGACTCCGACTCTGATGTGTTGACGCCGCCGCGGCCATGTTTGTTTGTGTAATAGTTTTAAACCGCTCGCCACATGGAAAGTTGAGTAGATGTGTACCTGCCTACAGCTGTTTAGTGACAAAACCTCTCATAATCCATTATTCAAGATGGCCGCCACAGCTAATCAACTTTAGCAAAAATATCTCTGACTCAGGCAGTTTGACCTGACCTGAAGTTTAGCGTGATACTAGCTGAGTCCTCCCCATATACAGTGTTAAAAAACAGCACTAACACATTATTTAGCTCACTTTAAGTGTAAAGTTTCGCTAACATTTTGTTAATTAGCTCACTGCTCTTACATTTTGCTAACAAATATGTAAAAACGAAATCCTAAATGTTGCAGCCGAACAAAGTTCACATTTAAGTATTTCAGAATGGAACGCGGCGTTTGCTGTTAAGTGTGGCTTGTGATGTCATCATCCTGTGACAAAAGCAACCGATAACACTGCTAAGTTAATGCTGATCGTATTTAAAATTTTGAATTAAAATTTGTTAAAAACAATCTGGATGGTACCTGCAGTTTGAAGTGCAGCTCGGACACAAACCACTGGGTTTGAAGTCTTGTTAGCAGCATTAGCATCGTTAGCTTTCGTCACAGGATGAGTTCCATTCTGAAAAACTATTATTTCACCACAACTTTTACATTGAACTTTAATTTAATAATTATTTGGAAAGTGCAAGATCAGTGACTTAAATACTGAAATGTTAGTGGAAAATTTTAAACCAGCGCTCAGAAAATGATCTAAATAATGAAAATGTGTTAGTGGCATTTTTTTAAACATTTTATTTTACACTTTGCCAAATACACCCCGAGATCTTTAATTAAATCTTTAGTGTGGACGGTGGCGGCATTCGTCTTTGTCTAACAAAAAATATAAAGTTTTGGGTTTTTAATTAGTTGTGATGATCACAGATTTGTAAAAAATAAGCAAGAAGTCTGGAGTAAAAATTGCAATGATCATTCCAGACAGATTAACTTTTAAATGACAAAAATCCTCCAATCTGAGATTTAGACTTTGACAGAAAGAAATAATCTGAACTGGCCTCAGATCCGGAGTTTCAGCTGTGTCTCCTGCAGACTGAGGCACAAACCCAGAGGTGTCAGAATCATGCTGCAGGATGTTCGTCAGGACCGAGGCAGTCTGACTGAAAACAATTATTAATTAATGAAAGCGTCCACAGAACATAATTTTTATTGTTATTTACCTTCCAGCAGGACCCTGGACTCTCAGAACGACTACAAACCAAATTAAACAAACAAAATATCCAGCAGGGTGTGTGTTGTGTTCCTTATGTTTAATCTGATGACAAAATGAGATTATTTACAGGAAAATGATCTGTACAAAAAGATTAAAAAAAAAACAATCTTGCAAACATGTAATTTAACAAACAAACGCAACAAAAAGAATGGAGAAAAATGAAAAGAATAAACTGAGGTATCCAAAGTGTCCTTGTCTGTTATGGTCTGTACACAACTTTAAAAATAAATAAAAAGATAACGAGGGCCTCGTTTTTTTTTTTTAACTCATAATGAACTTTGCATCTTTTTATCTACGGGTTTCTTACAACATTTTATTTTTTAAATTGTTTCTAGGATTATTTTATTCTTATTTTATGAAAAGAGTGAGGATAAATTAATTTGGCAACAAGTGCATTTACAGAAAGTTAATTATTTAGTTTAAAAAAAAAACTCTTGATCCAGTCTGTGAAATCTAACGTTATTTAAGAAGGACACTAAAATTTGAGCATTTCTCACCGGGTGGCCATACTGGTAGTTTTTCCAAAGTTGCTAGAAAACAAAACACACAATGATGTTCCATTTCCTCCTGCTGCTCGCTTCTGAATCTGAAAAATTTACAAGACATTATCGTCTTAAAACAGTCATTGCATCTTGAACCCTTGTTTGTCTCCATACTTTTCCTCGTGAAAATTTGAGGATTTTCTCGCAATTTTGTGTTCCCGTCTAGTCCGGTAAGAAACCGCCTGAATGCTTTTACTTGTGTAAACAATCATTCCACAAGCGTCACCTAACTCATGTAAAACAATCAAACTTTTTTATTAAGTACTATAAAGCTAGAGCGACTTTGGTGTACCAATACTACACAGGCAAACAGTACAAAAAGTATTAAATTATTTTTGATCAAAGCATAATTTGATTGTAAATCGTGGCCTTTTTTTTCCAAAACACTCAAATAAACACAAACTACCAGCAGTGCTCGCAGTACCAAGTGCGTACTTTCTCCTCTAGATTTATTCCAGATATGACAGATGTCTTCATAAATAAGTTGCATAAAATGTTAAAGCCGCGACATTGCACATGAGAATCAAACAGAACACACGACAAGTGCATTTACAGGGAGGTCTGCCTCCGCTTTGATCTGCCGCTGGAAGCTGGGACAGTCCTGCCGTCCAGAAGCAGGAAGTGAAGGAGAGGCAGGAGTCTCTACAGTGTAAGGCTTAAACATGTGCGCAGCACGCTTTGTTGGGGAGGGGGGGCAACGGTGGATTCTGTACTGCCTCTCCACTCAGATCTCTGAGTTTTTCTTCTCCTTTCTTAAACATCGTTTCTTTACAGTTGGACTGCTTCTCCGAAGTGTCCCTGGTTCAGTGTCCGTCCTCGGCGGATCAAACAGGAAGAGGAAGCGAGTCGTCGGCGCCGACGCTTTCCACCTCAGAGTTCTTGGCGGTGTCGTCGAGGCTCGCTCACACCGCTCCTCTCATCGGTCTTTTTCTAAGTTACTTTGTAACGCTTTGATTTGTTCGTTTGGGTATAAAATGAGTTGAAACTAGCAAGCAGCAGTAGACGAGGGCATCCATCCATGTGTCCGCTGACAGGACAGGAGGGAGGATGAGATCAGCAGCTGTTTCCACAGTAAACCGTAAAACCTCGGCAGCCGGAGTGGGGGGGGGGGGGGGTCTCGCTCAAACCGGAGACTGAAGCCGACTCTGAATGAAGCTCCGGACCCCTCCGATGGGCCGTGCGTCCGTCTGATGTTTCCTCCGGTCGATGAAGGAGATGAGGCGTGCCGTGTCCAGGCAGCCCTCCGCCCGGGCCCACCCGTCCCCCTGGCCGGCCTGCAGCCACGCCTCCTGGAGGCAGAGCCCGGCCGGCGGCCTCCTGCTGGGGTCGGAGCGCAGCAGCAGGCAGACGAAGTCCCGGGCCCCCTGGCTGACCCCCTGGAAGTAATCCCTGGGGAAGCTGAAGTCCAGCCTGCAGATATTCAGGCAGGTCTCCTCCGAGCTTTCGTCCAGGAAGGGGGAGGCACCGCTCAGCAGCACGTAGGTCACCACGCCCAGGCTCCACAGGTCGGAGGTCAGCGACACGGGATCTCCCAGGACCAGCTCTGGGGGGGCGAACTCGGGGCTGCCCAGCAGAGGGTGGATGTAGTGGGCGCTGTTGAGCTGCACGGCGTCACCAAAGTCCGTGAGTTTGACCGTCGGCTGGCCGCTGGAGCTGTGGGAGACCAGCAGGTTCTCAGGCTGCAACCAGAACAAAGACAAACTGAAGGTCCAACAATACTGAAAACTACCCGAGGTAGCAGGATCATCAGTGGGTTTTGTCACATGTCCCACCTGAAATACCTCATACACAAATACACAAGTACTGAAACCTTAAAGCAAATGTTCTGTTATATACTTACTTTTACATCCAGATGTACAATTCTGCAGTTGTGCAAATAATGTAAAGCTTCTAAAACATTCCGCAGGTAGGAGGCCACCTTCTCTTCTGTCAGGTTCCCCCAGCTGACGATGTAGTCCAGCAGACGGCCCTGATCAGCCCTGAAACACCAGAGAAACATCAGACCAGCAGAGGCTTACTGTGAGCTGTACTGTTGTTGTTGTTGTTTACTCACATCTCCAGGACTAGAGCGTAGCTGCTGAAGGTCTCAAATGTGTCCACCAGGCTGACTATGTGCGGGTGTTGGAGTCTCTGTAGCAGGTTGAGTTCCTGAGTCACCCGGTCTCTTTTCATCAGCTTCTTGTTGACGTGTTTGACGGCGACGGCACGTTTGGTGCCACGGTGGTCGCAGCGCTTGACCACGGAGAAACGACCCCTAATGAGGAGAAACGGGTCAGGTCTAAACAAGATACGCTCCGTTCAGAGTCCTTAGTGTGAAGGTTTCAAAAACTGAAAATGTTTTTGAGTGTTCAAACAGTGAGAAAACTACTCGCTCTTATGAAGCACAGATAAGGGAGGAGCCTCTATCTGACACACAGGAAGTGATTTCTTCACACAGAAACCGAACTACACTTCTCTATCTGCTCTAGTTTTTAACAGTTTTCTTTGCAGGTTGTTAGCTGAACAGGGGATGGTGGTCTTGTAGAGATGGACTTAGTTTTGAACTTTCCTGGTTTCTCATTCAGAAAGCTTCCTCACTTCAAACAGAAACATCTGTGTTGAGCCATTTATCCTTGTAAACTGTCAAATTTGTATAACCAGCCAGCCAACTAACCAACCAACATATTAACCAACCAACCAACCAACCAACCAACCAACCAACAGATTAACCAACCAACCAGCCAACCAACCGACCAACAGATTAACTAACTCAACTGACCAACCAACCAAACAACAGATTAACTAACCTAACCCAAACCGACCAACCAAAAAACAGATTAACTAACTCAACCGACCAACCAACCAAACAACAGATTAACTAACCTAACCCAACCGACCAACCAAACAACAGATTAACTAACTCAACCAACCAACCAACCAACCAAACAACAGATTAACTAACTCAACCAACCAACCAACCAACCAAACAACAGATTAACTAACTCAACCAACCAACCAACCAACCAACCAAACAACAGATTAACTAACTCAACCGACCAACCAACCAAACAACAGATTAACTAACCTAACCCAACCAACCAACCAACAGATTAACCAACCAACCAATAGATTAACTAACCTTACCCAACCGACCAACTAGCCAACCAACCTAACCCAACCAACCAACCAACCAACAGATTAACTAACCCAACCAACCAACCAACCAACCAACCGATTAACTAACCTAACCAAACCATCCAACCATAAAATAGATTAACTAACCCGACCAACCAACCAACCAGACAGATTGACTGACCCGACCGACCGACCGACCGAACGACAGATTGACTGACCCAACCAACCGACCGACCGACCGACCGACCGCCCGCAACCCAACTAAGCCCTCAAAGATCTGGACCAAACTCTAAACCACCCAAACAGAAAATTTCTAAAAGTTCAGTGTTGGTTCTGTGAAGAATCACACATATATTTGGTAGCCAACTGGTTTAATATTAAAGCTGATAATAAATTACTGAGTCTGTTACCTTCCCAGTTCAGCCACCTCGGTGTAGTGAGACTCAAAATTGTCCTTCCAGCTCACTCGGCGCCCATCAGTGGACACAGCTGGAGAGACAATTACAACAAAAGCAATCAACACCACGCCTGTCACATTTCTGGCTCCGTACATTGTGATCTCTCTGCACTCTTACCCAAAACTCTGAGGCTAGCAGACGTTGTCACACTGCCAAGTTCGTTCGTGGCAACGCAGGTGTAAACACCGTCATCCTCAGAGGCTGCGCCGATGATACGCAGCGTCGCTTCACCTGCATCACTGAAATACACAGAGTTCATTATCTTTATTTAAGTAGACAAAAACCCACTGAGAACAAATCTATTTTACGATTATGATCTGCCCAAGAGGCCAGTGGCATGCAGCACAAAACTATGCTCACAAACAAAAACAATACAGAATAAAACAATTATTTTACCCACATAAATGGTTTACAAGGTAATGGCAGTTTAAACGGTGAGTTAAATTACATGCAACATTTATTAAGGGTTCAGTTCAGTTTGTTTCTCTGCTCACGAGTTTAATAAAACTGTCTGAGTCACAGTACCATCTTGGATCTTGACTCGTCCTCACATGCTGACTTACAGAGAACTTCTTCACAAATGTTGACTTTCTCTGTGTAACCAATCAAAACTCAGTGAAGAACAAATCCAGTTTCTGTACCTGTAGGCGAGGCTGAAGTGTCCATTGTTGGTGAGGCTGCTTTGGTTGGGTCCTCTCCAGGTGACAGTGGCGCGGGGTCGACCGCAAACCTTACATCGTAGGGTGACGCTCTCACCGTTGTCACACGTCACGTCACTCAGAGGTACGAGGAAATCTGGGGGGGCTGACACAAACAAACGATTTTTGAGTTCACAGTTGGAGGTTACTTTTGTCTCAATGTGCAGATAAACACTCAAAGATAAGACTCACCATCATAGATGAAGTTTGGATTTAGAAGCTGGGGGAGAAAAAAAACAAAGAAATGTTTAATGGAAAAATATGAAAGTATGAGAGTATCACCGATGATTTTCTAGTTGAGCTAAAACACACCTTTACAGAAACTTTATTAGCCAATCCATCTCTGGACTTCCTGTAACCGTTTTCCAGCTTGGTCTCCTTTTTCGCCTCTTTCTCCTTTTTCTCAGACTTCTTGCGGATACGCAGGGATGTGTGCCAAGATGAAGATTTCCTACTGAAAAAGGAAATGGCTCACTGTCAGATGTACCCATGCTGGTGCAGAGAGATGACTCGACTCAATTTTGTTTGTACGGCATTTTTCAAATACAAGTGATCAAGTGACAACTGATCAATATCATTTGGCGTTAATAATAAATAAAGCAGGGTGTCATCAGCATAGCAATGAAACTAAATTTTGCACTTTGATATTTTTGCCTAAAGAAAGCAAAAACAAAGTGAAAAAAAAAATTAAAACAAGCCTAATCCAGAGCCTTGTGGAACACCATAACTAAGTGTTATTTATCTGGACTAAAAACATTGCAACTTTCTTCTCCAAGTCAGTTCTGTTGTCTGTGCAGTGTAAAATAAATAAAAAACAGACAGTCTTAGCTCTGAACTCACAAACTGAAAACGAAAACCGTTTGTGTTCCAAATGTCTTACTTTATGGGTCCCTCGGAGCAGTCGGGGACAATGGCCGAGGTGTGCCCCAGCACAAATCCGGGGATCCAGCCCTCGGCGGCTGGGCCCTGCTCAGTAGCCGCCCTGAACACCAGGAACATGTTTTGCTGGTTGCTGGCCAAGATCTGGACCACTTCACCCTGAATAACGCTGATCTCATCCTCTTTTAGAGCCATGTAGTCCTGGGTCACCAACATGGTGGATACGCTACTGCTGCTGCTACTTTCACTCTGTGCAACAGGAAGGAAACACAGACAGGGTTAGCTTAAACACTGATAATTAAATACAATTTATAAAACATTAAATAAACTTTCAGTTTAAGACTGTTGAAATAATTTCCTGTACAAATGTTTTTACTCTGCAGGTCCAGGCAAAGAAAGAGGAGCGTTAGGTTGAATGAAAGGATCTGAGTTCATTTGTGGCCGAACCACAAACGTCAGAGGTTAGTTGGAGGTAAAGTACCTTTTAGTCACACCATGAATACAGCAGTTGGTGAAAGACAGCCAAGAGGAAAGAATATGTTAGTTTAAGCTTTGTTAGAATTCTAGAAAAAAGCCTTGAAAAGTCATTCAGAGGTACAAAAGGATCCCAGAAAGAGATGGTGCTTGACAGCTGAAACCTTTGGAAGAAACTGTCATCAGAAATGCTTTAAAGCAAGAGAAGGTGGTGCTGGAGAGTGGTGAAGGTTGTCAGAGATGTGTAGAGGAAACAGATTAGTAGCCCTGGCTGCAGCAGGACAGACCAGGCCTCCCTCAGCTCGGTGTTAGTGGAATCAGCACTGGGCAGCAGGAAGTAGTCTTACCCCGTTACTCTGGGTGGACTGGATGGACTGCTCACTGGTTGATGAGCAGGTACTCATGCGATCGGCTTCCTTGCTGTGCGTGGAGTGCCTGTGGGTTTGATTCCCTGAGCCAGCTGAGATCTGGTTTGAGTTTTGACGGACCGGGGTCTCTCCTGCCTCCCCAGGGAAGGTGAAGGAACCAGGCCGGCTGGCTGGAGAGCCCGGCATAGAGCTCCAAAATCCAGACCCGGACTTTTGGCCGGGGCTGGGAGGGGGAGGAGGGAGGACATCTTTGCCAAAGGCGGGAGTGGCCAGGGGTGAGGCGATGGGGGACACGGCTCCTGGCCGAACTTTGGAGGTCGGTGTGGAGGGCAGAGGCCCGACTTTGGCACGAGGAATAGGGTTAACAGGGGTGGCAGGTGCGGGGGTCTGTACACGGTCCTCTGGGGTCTGGGAAGGAAGCTTGCCTTGTGGACTCCCCCCTGAAGGAAGCAGGGGAGGAGGCACAGGACGAGGGGAAGAACCTGGATCATAACCGAGCAGAACTCACAACTCAATCACATCTTTTAATGTTCAACCAAAGACTCATTTCACAAATACGCAACACTTCTTACCTAACGTTTTGTTGGGGCCATCTGCGTCGGCCCCGGGCTGGTGGCGTAGGGGTTGAGGCAGTCGGGAGGGTTGTGGGATCCTAGAAGGCCGACGAGAGCCAGTCTGGGGTCCTGCAGGGACGGAGCTGCTCTGGTTGTTTCCACATGCGGCTACAGGTGGTGTGCTGCTGCCACCTCCAGCTGGAGCTCCCATGGTGGTCAGGCACGGGCCATCGCCAGCCCCCACATGGTTCCTCTGGTACTCTATTGGTGAGATCAGAGCTGTGATCAGGTACAGAAGAGACAAGCAGGCCCATGACATCATCACATGGGTTAAAACAAAAATATATATATTTCACTGTATTTTTTTTCCTAAACCCTCACAGTAAAGTATACTACTAACACTATCCTGTGTACTTTGACTAAGGGCATATACACATAGTCCTAACACTATACACTGTGTACACGCCCTCAGTCAACGTACACAGTATTGTTCCATACAATACTTTAACCTGAACCATTTGGACCAAAGGGATTTGTAAGGAAGAGGATGATTTTAAACAGCTTTTCTGTAGTTTACATTAATGTCAGAAAGATCCGCCCTCCTCTGCTCTGATTGGATAAAACTATAGCTCTGGGGTTTGTTTGATTTGTTGTCATTAGATGGGACAACTTTAATGAAACTGCAACAAAAAACAACCCATCCCTCCAACAATTTTTGACAACGAAGGCCACTTTAAAAATGATAGAAATCCATCGTGGCAACAGACTTTAAGCCCGTCATCATCATCATCACCAAAAAAATTAGGATTTTAAAGGGATCCCTGATTAGTTGTAACATTACACTTTATTTGATAAACATTTATTTTAACTGTAAAATAAAGACTGTAAAAACACTGTCTGTTTAGTTTTGTAAATTTTAACACAGACGGAGCCATTTTATTTACACACAAAGCATTCTGGGTAAATGATGATGTGGATAGGTCCTCGGTGTGAGCGAGCTATATCCACCCTGAAGGTTAATCTTGGACAATATCTGATGATCGACTCTTTAATTTTAAATGAAACCAGAGAGCGTTGAC